TGGTAGTCGAGATGTCTTGAAACACACGTTAGGGGCTACGTGTGGCGAAGAGAGAGTGACTCTAGCTGTGACCAGAGCAGGACTCATGGCTTTCATGCACGAACAGAACACAGATTGCTTATGTGGGCACGCCAGCTCTCTGCAAGCAATGCGATCTGGAGTTCTGGACCATCACTCGACGAAATGGCGAGACTTTATAACTCCTTTGGCTTCATTGTGTGACTGGTTATAGGAGCCGCCAGTATCTGGAAACATGTGCAATGTGCAGCATGTTTACATGCATACATCCCCTTAATCGAATTGTGGAAACGACCGCCGATGTCGACCAGAGGAAACCTGGCACTTCTTACAGCTCTCTTCGGCTCGATTTTTCGGTCTCGGCGAGCGTCACAGCATGAAATAAAGCTCACAGGGAGCCCATGATTGGTCAGGATTTCAAGACGTTTAAAGTTTCAGAGCAGATATTAATTAACTTCTTATTGATGCCTCAGCCAGGAATCGGAACACTGACATTGTCGCACGCACTGTCTTTGAATATCTCTTGCTCACGCCCTATTCTGTTCAGAGGATATTCTGAAGTTATTATCATTAGCCGCACATTTTACTGTACTTATGTGGCATATATGCATTCAAAAGTAACACAAACTATTAATTTCATTTAAGACAAAAGAGAACTATCCCGCATGTCAATGATGAACAACAATAATCTTGAAAAAATCTTCGCCACATTTTAGTGAAAATTTGCTAATTCTCGTGAAAATGAGCTGGGAACCATCATCCACACCATGTTAAATCATCAAAGAAATAGGCAAAACATGTCCTTCATTTTTCAATGTTTGCGCTACTATTACTAAGTTTTTGCCCAAAGTAAGATATAGGAAAGACTACAAATTGACTAGAGGTGTTGGTTTCCAAAGCACATTATCATATGGCGAGTGATCTGGCTGTGATAACGTTTGAAAGCTAGGGCCCTAATGGCAGGTCCCTAATTTTTGTGCACAGTCCAGGTATATAGTGGTCTATGTATATATATATATATATATATATATATATATATATATATATATATATATATATATATATATATATATATATATATGTATATATCGCATTTCGAATATGTAATTGGTGAACGACAAAATAGTCATACCAAAGTGTTGTACTCACTTAGGCGATTCGACTGATATGCAACATGGCATACTTTGCTAGAGAAATTGGCATGACCTCAGGTCAAGGTCAGGCTAGGTCAAGAAAGGGATACTAGGTGACTTTCTTGATATTCGATGCTTCACTAAGCAGTATAGCACTTACAACTAAGGTAAACAACACTTTGAACATACTTTTCTGTACAAGGTATATGCAAAAATAGTATTTGACCTCAGTGACCTCGTGTGACCTGGTATGACATGACACCTCCAATAACGTACTCTTCCTTCATTATATGAAGATAATATGAATGTTTCATGCATATAAGTTCTGATTTTACCCCAAACATGTTAGTTTGAATCGTTTCCCCATTGACTGTAATGGTAAGCATTGGTGACCTCAGGTCATGACCTGTCAAGGATATAACAAAAACCGAAACATATGTTGCACATATCGGTAAGCTTAGTTGAACCTGGAAGTTTGAACATATTTGCTCGAAAACTCTTGCTGTGGTGAGGGGACAAACTTTTTTCATGACCTAAATTTAGGTTGACCTGGTGACCTGACCTGCGGTCAGATCAACTCAAAATTTTTAGAAATGTTGCGTAAAAGCCTTTTAGGAAAAGTCAGAAAATTTGAGCTTCCTAGCTCAGAGCGTTTGGGAGAAATAACCAAAAAACCTCAGGGGGGGGGGGCTCCTGAGGCCCCCCCGCCAGGAATATATATTACTGACCGGGCCGACGAAATTATTTGGAAACGAGGTTTGCAAAATTGACGTAGGCCCGAGTGCGAAGCACGAGGGCCGGAGTCAAATTTTGCAAACCGAGTTTCCAAATAATTTCGTACGGCTGAGGTCAGTAAGATTTTTCCTACATGCCGCATACATGCTAAGTAGTTTCGACAGGTTTTGGTGACACTTTTATACAATTGTTTTGTCCATAATTTCCGAACAGTGATTGCGCTACTGCTGTGGATAAAGCTTTACAGGAAATTTATAGAAGAAAATGCATCAAAATATCTCACTTCAAAAAGAATCGCGTCCGAAAATATCAACTCAGAATGGCACAACAATTGGATATCCAAGGAACATCATGCATGAATAATTTGCCACGACATAAGAACAAGAAGAAGGTATAGAAGGTGTAATATTCCTAGTGATTAAACGTGAATTTTCCAGTGCCCTTGCAAGAATCTTTTCTTTATTTATGTAATCGTACTTTGTTGATGACCTATGGCTAAACTTTCGTGAAATACATTATATTTTCCATATTTTACATGTTTGTTTCGAGGAAAGGACTACAACTGTCAAATAATAACGCAATAACTTAGGCCCAAGGTATCAGTGGACATATCAAACGAAGATAAGAAACAAGCGATAACGGATTTCGATTAATAGGAGCATATCTTGCCATAATTTCGGCTTTGTAACCAATACTAAGCATTTCAAAACCCTTAATAAGCAGAGCAGATATTTTTTTACCAAAAAATGTTAGTTTTCTAATTTTACGCGGCAAATATCATGCAATAATGATGTCAATTATACATTCCCTATCAATTATACCTCTGGGCTAATGCGATAAACTGTAGTTTAGAGGTCATTGCCCTGGGCAGTAAACTCGGGCAGTAAACTTTTGTTTCCTGCCCGGCCTATCAAATAACATGGCATTTTGACACCGACAGTTTCTTGGTCATAGTTTTACTGCCCGGCTCGTGCTGTGCTTAAGACATACCCCGGCATGTAGGAATAGGGTTAAATGTCCATCTATGATGCCTATTTGCAAGCCGTTAGATACCGTACCTACTTGTACTTGTCTATCATTACATCAAAATGAGCCTGATGTTAGGCAAACTAAGAATGCATTTTCGTATTTTCGGAGTGACAAGTGATTGTTTCTACTTCCCCTCGTTCATTCTTTGTTTTCTTTCTTTTTTGTTCACGCCCGCGTCTGCTTCCTTGCTCGTTTCTTTTCCGCTGCTCTCAGATCTATTATCGACCTCTGTAACGTGGGAACGGAGGTCTAATTAGCTTCCTCCACGCCGGACCTCCCTTTGTGCGCCCGCTAACGGACAATGCTGCCAACCAACAGCGGAAATGTGCCATATGTATTTCTGTGTGCGAGTGACTACAGAGCGAGCTTCCATCCCGGGCAGCGCAGCCATCAATCAGAGAGATGGCGTACCCTGCTGCCAGGGACTGCAAAAAGTAGGTTACGTAATTTTTATATTAATATTGATACACGTGCAAAGCGAAACTCTTATGGCGGCCACACGGCTTGGCAGTCTCTAACGCAGGACCACCTTAGATCGCTATCTATTCAGTCGATCATGAGCTATAAGAGACAGCCACTGCACGTGCGCACGTGCAGAAACACTCTGAAGGCGACACAGGCGTGCATTTAACGGTGATTACCTAAGGATAGGCCAAATGTTAGCGCAATCAGCCTGATCGTTGCGGAGCTATTGTATGGAAGTGGAGCAACTCGACACACTTGAGCTGGCAGGTACCAGTTCCGCCCTCAACGCCCCCAACGAAAGGAAGCACGTGTATTAGGTCAAATGGTATTGTTGAGCTTTTCGAAACTTCAGTCAATTTCGACTGTTCTCTTTTCCTGGGACCCGAACCGTTGGACCTAAAGATTGAATTTGATAACATATCAAATTAGCAAAAGAGCGTTAAAAGAGCTATGAGATGCGTTGTTGCGATACAGTAGCTCTATTGATTCACAAGGTATGCGTTAAACTGTCCCAAAATTGTCCTTATCGGGAAAATTTGACCTTTGATGGCCTTGAATAGACTCAGTAATTGCGTGAGTGATAAATAACATTTTTTAGTACTCGCTAAGTTGATGGATCGCTTTTTCCGCATTGAGCTCTCAGAGTATATTCTTTGTTAAAGATGATCAGGCGTAACCATTTTCCGTTATTACGAGCGAGCGAGCGGAGCTGGTGAGCGAGCTCATACTGAATTAAGGGAAAATCATGAGTATGAGCGGCTGGCCAGCCGGCCGGCCGTGGGGACGCTCTTCAAAAGCTAATATCTTAGGAACGGGACATCCGATTGACAAGCGGTCTTCTTTACTGAATGTCACTTGGACGTAAAATTTCTGTGGTGTGATGGCCACCATGCGTTCTTGCCAACCACCGCACGTGGCGCGTGGTAAAGTTGGACATTTTTTAAGAACCCCCAAAATTGCAACCTCAATAACGGCACAATGGTTGGGCCGATTGAATTGAAACTCAGTACACAGTTAGGCCTCCATCAGATAATTCATCTGCATGTGTTAAGGTTGGGGTGCTACAGCACGTGCGCACGTGCAGGGGGCGCTCCCAGATCTCGAGAACGGCTGGGCCGATTGCGCTCAAATTTGGTACACGGCTGGGGACCAGTTAGTAGGGTGCCGTGCAAAAGTCAGTTTGGACCCCGCTTGCACGTGCGCACGTGCAGTATGCCGCTTCCAGATCTCAGGAACGGCTGGGCCGATTGCGTTCAAATTTGGCACACCACTAGCGACCGGTTAGAAGGGCGCTTTGCACAAGCCCGTTGGAAGTACCCTCTCGCCCTTGCGCACGTGCAGGGCTCACTATCTCGCTCGCTCGTTCTTCGCCCAAAAGGCGTTTTACTGGTATTGAAAAGACTTCGCTTCGCTCGCTGCGCTCGCTCGCTCGTGATTAACGTTCCCAAAACCAGAGCACTGGCTGGCCGGGACACCACCCCGGCTGGGGCTACTATTGCTATTTGCTTATTAAAAAACTGATTTTCGTTGTTTTCGTTGTTTTCGTTGAAAAGTTTTCGTTGATGAAACACATCATACATTAAAAACTGTCCCCTCTCTTGCACTGCTGATTTTCCTCACCTGTTTAGAGATCTGCTCAGCTCCGTTTGGCAGGTAATGTCGATGAATGAGGTTTGGTGCCAGCAGCTGTCTGAAAATAGAAATGGCGAAAATGAGTTCAAACTTAAAAAAATTGCGTTGAAGTAACTCTGCTGCTATACCATTTATGCATTCATTAGCATTCAATTGGGCACTTGAAAACTTCATTCTTTATCACACGGAGATACATAAAAGTTGAGAAATTTCTCGAATCTTTCCAAGATGGTGCCATTTATATCTGACAGGCTCGCTGAACACCTTCGATACAAGCGAAATAAATGCGGTTTCTAACATCTTATAGTTAAAGAAATACTTACGAATTGAGTTGCAGGTCGATTTGAAACTGATGGGTGAATGCTTTTATCATGAGTGACGTCTTTTCCACATGTTTTGTTGACACCTGCAAAACGGCATTGGTAAGACCGGAGAATGCTGAGTTCTACACATGCATGTTCTATTGCTATCATACCAACAACCATACACAACTATATAAGTCCAATAAATAAGTAATTACAAAGCCATAAAAATATTTTGAAATGAAAAACAAAAGTGGTGAATGAGAGTTAAGACAAGCTGATGCACGGACTTCTTTACATGCAGAGAAGTCTGTGGCTGCTGAGAAATAAGAAGTGAAATGAACACTCGCACTTTCTTTCCGAAGTCCGATCAGGCTCATTTTGTGTTTACGTACTCCTTGATATATGCCTTAGATACCCTGATGGTACAGAACCTTTACTTCGAATTTTTCAGGTCAAGGCCAGGTCATCCTAGGTCACGAAAATTGTATATTATGTATCGGTCACGTGACGCATGTTTTATGGTCCATTTTACACATAGATTTAGAAAACAATGTCGTCTGTGTCATTTGAGGCCATTTTTAGCTGAATTTACTGAAGATCAGGTCACTTTGAAGTCAGAAAAGGTCAAATTTTGAAAATGAAATTTTCAACAAAAATGTGCCTATCAGATGCAGTTTGAGCTCAGAAACACGACGGGGCCATTTATATTGATGTAAGACGTCAAAGACGTACTAAAAAAGGATTTTGAAAAATATATAATTGTAAAATTTTGACTATAATGCAAATAACTTGGCTATGTTTGAAGATATTTGGCTAAAGTTTGCTAGAGTACTTAACTTTAACCCGCGAGTTGCTGGGGGGGGGGGCGTTAAACGCCCCCACTTTTTTCGCCGGGCCATAGCATAGAAACGGCGCGCCGCAGGCGCGCCAAATTTTGGGTACCTGTAGGGAATTGATTGAACTTTATTGTGACAAAGTTTCAAAAAAATCGGTCGGAAAATTTTTGAGATATCGAGGTTTTAGTGACGTCATGATTTCTGAGTTTTCGACCAAAAACGGCATATGTTAAAAAAAAAATCATATAAAATCACAGAATAGACATATAGACATGCCGTAAACGCCATTAGACTGCCAATACCATGGAGAATCAAATGGCTATCTTTGATTATTGATTATCGTTCCGCATTTTCCAAAATCTTGAACTGAATCTTGGCAATTTCTCGTGACTACTTCACGACCATGATACATGAATTTCTTAAATTGAACTTTTTTAGCCAAACACGTACACATATGATAAAATGAATGTCACCGTCGTGTTCTACGCCCCAAATTACCCATAAAACATGTGTCACAGGCTGCGAATATCAGTTTTTATTTTCGGGGATATGTGCCTGCCCGGTTGACCTGACCTTGACCCTGACCTATGCTTGACTGACCCCTGCATGGAGCTGACACTCTTGTAGGCCTTATATGATGGATTGTGCACCGTTTTGACAGAGTTTATGACGAGAGGCGCCCATTGCGAAGTCCTGAAGTCCATGCTACTGAAAGCCCGATTTCAGGTGTTTGACCTGACCTTGACCTGACCTGTGACCTCAAAATTCAACTTTAAAGTACTCATCTGAAGCGTCTCGTCGCGTTCTTTCGTTTGCCGCCTCGTGCGTTTCGCTGCGCCTATTGGTTCTCGAGTTATCGGCTGGGGGCGTTTAACGCCCCCCCCCCCCCCCAGCAAACGGTGTGTGGCGAAATACCCCAGCAACTGCCGGGTTAACAGTGTGTGTTCTATCACATGTATTCCGATTTTTGCGAAAAGTCAAAAACTTTCTTAAAAAATCAAAAATATTTTTTTTTTTGTAATTGTAAATACATATTTTTCGAAAATTTTAAAATTTCGAAAATTCGAGATAGCAGTTTGATAGCTAAGTGTATTTTTAGTCCATGCATACAAATAAATTGGATCTAGCTTTAAAACTGAGCTCTTGAGAGCGTTTCCGCAATTCAATACTTTGCATCAAAATCCGCCGACATGACGTCACTCTGACGTCATTTCCGACTAAACTGTGGTAGCTAGCAAAATTAAATTTTAACAAAAGGTGTCAAATTGATGCCGCTGAAGGTGCCGCAAGTTTCGTGATGATCCGTCAAACGTTTTAGAAGATATTGCCGAAAAACGGGAGGGAGTTCTGTAGAGCCCCCCTCCCCTCCAGTCATGCGCGGGTTAATCTTTATCAAATAGAGCAGCGGTCAATCTTTTTTTTGTACCAAAGTATTGGTGATTAGGGTGTGGTACTTACTAACCTTTTGATAAAATCCGTTCCTAGATGACGTGTTGTCCCTCTCAAGCTGAAAAAGTGAGACACCATTGAAGTGAAACACAGCGCCGCCACAGACGGACACCTCCAACAGCATGTACTCGTGCGTTTAATATAGCTCTACCTACCCATGTATGTGTAGCAGAATAAATGGAGATTTCGGAGTAGGATTAATCAAGGTGAGCACAGACATCACCAACACCATTGCTGCAAAGCTCACTGATGAATTTATTCGGGTATTTGTTCACGTATGCTAACCATCATTTTTTGCTACAGCATTAAGCTAACATCAGAAAAAAAATGCATAATAGGTAATCAGTAACATAAATGAAAGTGTGAAAATGCCAGAATTTTATACCCGAAGACTATCGTTCTGTTCGCTTAGGAGAGTCCGTTCACACTCATCACAAGGGTTCTGTTCTCACTCTCCCCTCTCTCCCTCTCCCTCTCCCTCTCCCTCTCCCTCTCCCTCTCCTTCTCTCCCCTCCCTCTCTCCGTCTCACCTTGGAGGGCCCGTTCTCGCGTGTGATGATGGTCGATTGTCGCCGCGAGTCTCGGATCTGCACCGGGTACGTGATGAAGTAGTGGCTGCCCAGCCCGTGCACCATGTCCCTGTTCTCCTTGTACTCGGTGAACAGCCGGTTCGCCTCGTCTGCACACGACACAACATCGGGTCACTCAACGGCACCAAACACAGCACCAGGTCACTCAGCGGCACCAAACACAGCACAACACCGGGTCAGTGCACACGACACAACACCGGGTCACTCAGCGGCACCAAACACGACACAACACCGGGTCACTCAGCGGCACCAAACACAGCACAACACCGCACAGTGGGGATTTTTCCGATCTAGCGCCTATTAATTCAAAAAATATTTTTTTGGATTTTTGTTTATTTTTTGTGTCAGTAGGGCTAAGAAATGTCTGAATTTTTCATATATGGCATTGTTTTATCTGTATGTCCACAGCAAAACTAGGAAAAATGCGCCCAAAGTTCACACTCATGCGTGATTACTCAATGGGCTCAGCAAGGCCCGAAAGTATAGCTCAATTTCATTGTCCTGTCCTGTTGGTTTTAATCTTGCGAGGTCTTAAAGTTGCATATCGTCTGAAAGGCACCTTCATTAGGAATGGAATGGCAAACAGAAAGTATGCCACAACCTTACTAAGGTCACAAAAATGCCCTTTACAAAAAACCCTTACAGACACCATATTGAAGGAATGGTATTCTAAATAAATGTAGGAAATCAACAATGTTCTCCACACTTTTCCACTCCGAAATATATCCTATCGAATTCGCCACTTTCTTCTGCACGAGACAACGCCTGGTTTGGCTGCCGAAACTTGCCTGAACACGGAATATTCACATTAGAGTATCTTAACACCCCACTCGAGGAGCGCTAGGGCAAACAGCACGATATAGGTATGTTCCGGACATAGGCGAATAATTTTACTTCGTGATTTATATGATGCATATTTTCTGAGACACATTCATTAGGAATAGGATGACAAGCGTAAATTATACATACCGTAACCTTATTAACCATCGCACTTGTGGGGAGGGGGAGGGGAAGGGATCGGATAAAACCCCATGGTTTTCCGCAAATTACTCGCGCAAAAAGCGGCCGATCGCGCCGAAACTTTGGGTACCCTCGAGATCATCAATTTTACATCTAACCTAAAAATTTCATGACTCTGACCCAACTGACCTTTGACCTGTGGCATATTTCTCGAGACCATGTTTGGTCGGAATCGCGATTCGGCGTATGCCAGCTCACATTATCCGCGGTTTCCAGTCTTTTTGTGGTTTTAAACGTTCAAATATGTGAAATGCTGTTGGTGCCATGCATAATGGTGGGAGTCAAGGTCACGTGAAGGTCAAGTCAAGGTCATTGACCTTTTGATGACCTTGGTTCACTTTTTCGAGTTTTACTTGTTTCTAGGGTAGTTTTTGGTGCTGATTTCGATTTTAGCAGCCATTTGAATATTTACGAAGTAGTTCTAGTGCCTTCGTTCCATGTTACGAAGCTATCAGTAGTAGGTGACACTTTTATGGATGGCCGGCAGGACGCCTACTAATTGATCTAACCTGACCTGACCCGACCTGGCCTAAATGCATAAAGACATCGTCTGTTATCAAAACTAACATGAAATTCGTGATCAGCACCCCAAAATACCCCGTAACACCCTAACTTTGCGAAGTTTCAAGAGGTCTCGATTTCCCAACTTTAGTTGGGTCATTAAACTGACTTGCAAAGTCAGCTTATGACCTTGGACTTTGAAATTGGATATATTCGGCCTAACTTCGTCATAGGCAGCACGCTTGACTTTTCCGCGAAGCTCTAGCTTGATCAGGGGCCAAACGGCTGAGCGGGGGTCCAATTGAACCCCCTATACTATGTTGATTATGCACATTTACAGGTAAAATTCTCACCAGGACACACCAGCCAACATCTGTGCACAATCTGGCTACAATTCTACCTATGGTTTGCCCTCTACGAATAAATAGGTGCTAGATCGGAAAAATCCCCACTGTGCACCGGGCCAGCCGGCGGCACCAAACACAGCACAACACCGGGTCACTCAGCGGCACCAAACACAGCACAACACCAGGTCACTCAGCGGCACCAAACACGACACAACACCGGGTCACTCAGCGGCACCAAACACAGCACAACACCGGGCCAGCCGGCGGCACCAAACACAGCACAACACCGGGTCAGCCGGCGGCACCAAACACAGCACAACAGCAGGTCACTCAGCGGCACAAACAGTGGCGTATCCAAGGGGGGACCCTGGGGATCCTAGGATCCCCCCTGGAGCCTAGAAAAAACGTTTTTTTATAACACGAAAAAATTGAAATGACTTCAAGGGCCCTTTTGACCACTTCCCATTTTATTCGCAAAAAGAAAAAGTATTGTAGAACTCTTTTAGGGACCCCCTGAGGACTATAAGAGGACACCTTTAGGCCAATGAGGGACCTTGTGAAGTAAACAGAGGGCCCTCTCAGGTACACAGAGGGCCCTTTCAGGCACACAGAGGGCCGTCTCAGGCACACAGGGGGCCCTCTCAGGCACACAAAGGCCCTCTGAGACACACAAAGGGCCCTCTCAGGCACACATAGGGCCCTCTCAGGCACACAGAGGGCCCTCTCAGGCACACAGAGGGCCCTCTCAGGCAAACAGAGGGCCCTCTCAGGTACAGAGAGGACCCTTTCAGGCACACAGAGGGCCCTCTCAAACACACAGGGCCCTCTCAGGTACACAGAGGGCCTTCTGAGACACACAGAGCGCCCTTTCAGGCACATAGAGGGCCCTCTCAGGCACACAGAGGGCCCTCTCAGGCACACAGAGGGCCCTCTCAGGCACACAGAGGGCCTTCTCAGGCTCACAGAAGGTCCTCTGAGACACACAGAGGCCCTTTCAGGCACACAGAGGGCCCTTTCAGGCACACAGAGGGCCCTTTCAGGCACACAGAGGGCCCTTTCAGGCACACAGAGGGACCTCTCAGGCAAACAGAGGGCCCTCTCAGGTACACATAGGGCCCTCTCAGGCACACAGAGGGCCCTCTCAGACAAACAGAGGGCCCTCTCAGGTACAGAGAGGGTCCTTTCAGGCACACAGAGGGCCCTCTCAAACACACAGGGCCCTCTCAGGTACACAGAGGGCCCTCTGAGACACACAGAGTGCCCTTTCAGGCACACAGAGGGCCCTCTCAGGCACACAGAGGGCCCTCTCAGGTACACAGAGCGCCCTCTCAGGCACACAGAGGGCCCTCTCAGGTACACAGAGGGCCCTCTCAGGCTCACAGAGGGTCCTCTGAGACACACAGAGGCCCTTTCAGGCACACAGAGGGCCCTCTCAGGCACACATAGGGCCCTCTCAGGCACACAGAGGGCCCTCTCAGGCAAACAGAGGGCCCTCTCAGGCAAACAGAGGGCCCTCTCAGGTACACAGAGGGCCCTTTCAGGCACACAGAGGGCCCTCTCAAACACAGAGGGCCCTCTCAGGCACTCAGGGGGGGCCTCCCAGACACACAAAGGGCCCGCTAAGACCAGCAGAGGGCCCCTTAAGACTAACAGAAGGCCCTCTGAGGTACCAAGGTCAATTTCAGGCCACAAGGTGTCCTATGAGGCCACCAGACGGCCCTCTTATATCAAAGATAGTCCCTGGAGGTCACCGGAGGGCCCTCTGAGGTGAACAAAGGGCCCTCTCAGCCGCCTCAAAGAGGGCCCTCTGAGGTCGAAGAGATCAAAGAGATCAAAGAGGGTCCTCTAAGGCGAATGGAGGGCCTTCAAATGCCACAAAGCGCCCTCTGAGGCCACTGGAGGGCCTTCTGAGGTGCTATGAGGCTATGTCAGACCATCATGAGCCCTATGAGGTCATCAGGCCCTCTGAGATCAAAGAGGGTCCTTGGAAGTCATCGGAGGACCCCTTGAGGCCCCTTGAGGCAAACAAAGGCCAGAGGGACCCCTTAGACACCATAAAGAAGTAAAAAAGACCCCTCGGCCCTCTGAGGTCAAAGACAGCTCTCTGAGATGTAATAGGGCCATTTGAGGCAGCCGAGGGCCCTCTGATGCCACAGAGAGGCGCCCTCGGCTCTGATGCCAAAATAGGGTCCTCTGAAGTTTGAAGCCACCAGAGGGCCCCCTGAGGCGAACAGAGGGCCCTCACATCCACCTCAAAGAGGGCCCTCTGAAAATCAACTGGCCCTCGGAGTCAGTGTCCCAAAATTGTATTTTGGCTTGGGTGTCAGAGGGGGAAATAGGTCACCCAAAAGGGGGATAAGAGTGGAGGTGGACAATTGTCAGTCACAGCGCAGTCGGAGCCCTCTGAGAAGGCCACTCGAGCCTTACAACAGAGGGCCCTCTGAGGTGATATGAAGGCTATGTCAGGCCACTATGGGCTCTATGAGGTCATCAGGCACTCTGAGGAAAAAGCTGGCCATATGAGGCGAACAGAGGGCCCTTTAGGACAATCAGAGGACTTTTTAGGCCAACTAGGGACATTATGAGGCCTGAACAATGGGCCCTTTGGGACACAAACGGCCTCTCAGGCACCCGGAGGGACCTCTTTTCTAAGGCAAACAGGGGGTCCCCTTAGATGATATGAGGGCTTTTTTAGGCCACCAGGGGTCTCATGTATTAGACCAACATACGGCCATCTGAAGTAAAAGAGGACCTTTTGAGGTAAAAAAGGTCCCTGGAGAGAAAACAGAGGGCCCTTTTGGGTACTCAGAAGGACCATGGGGGCCACTAGAGGGCCCTTTGAGGCCAGTGATGGTCTTCAGAGGCCATCAGAGGTTCCCTCTGAGGGTAACAGAGAGTCCTTAAGACGACCAAGGCCCCCCGTGAAAATGCAGGTGTCACAAGGCCAGGTTTGCATCAAAGGTTAGGTAGCTATGCCCAGTTTTGGCTCTCTGTTGCCGACGTGTTCCGAACTGTCGCAAAAAAAAACGATGTGGTGGCACCCACGCCCCCGGCCCCCCTCGGCTGGCCAGGGTCCTTCTAACCAGGGATGCAGAGCCGTGGAAATTTCAGACGACTCCGGCTCCGGAGAAAAAAATAGGATCCGGCTCCGGCTCCGGCTCCGGCGGCTCCGGCTCCAGTACTCAGTAATCCTCTATACAGTTAAATACGGGTGGAAGAGAAAAGATGAAGGATTGGCTCACGTTGCTTCTGTATTTGCATAGCAAGGCTGTTTTGAATGTCACATGTTTTACTGCCTTGTACTGTCAAACCGAACTAGGTCAATAATTGTTTCCTCTTCAAAAAAAAGTAGCCGGAGTCGCCGCCTTTTTTGAATGCTCCGGCTCCGGCTCCTGCTCCGGGCTATATTCTTTCACGGCTCCGGCTCCGGACAAAATATGCCTGCTCCGGCGGCTCTGCAGCTCCAGCTCCGCGACTCCGCACCCCTGCTTCTAACTCGGCTTCTGAGCCACGACACGCCAAAGGCAGCGTTTGAAGGGACGCAAACAATAATGACGAAATTACTCTGGTCACTTTTTAGATCAGGTCAAAAGTCAGTTCACATAGGTCATCAAGGGCAAATTTCGCCAATTTTCAGATCCAATTTCGACTATTTTCAACAAACCATCGCATGACTCGGAAATGTGGAGCTACAGTGCCGGGGAAAAGCGTAGTTAATAGCTCTTCAACACCCGTTTCGCCGTTTCCATCCTCATGACATTCAAATCCTTCTCCTCCATGCCGCAAACCCTGATCCGGGCTGGACCTGGACGGGCAACTTTATTCCATGCGGGCGGCTCCCATTGGAGCGCACTGCAGCTCCTAATCAAGCACGCTCGTAACCGGGTGCAGTGAGCACTTAGGGGGGCTGGTCGGCCTGTCCTGTTGGACAGGCTCAGCCCCGGTGACTCACCAAGGTGCCCGCCCAGACCAATGTCTCCCTCAATTCCTTTCCTATCATACTTCCGGCCCTGAGCTCTGTTCGCACCCCGTTTATTTATCAGCAGGCTGCGAGCATGCTGCTACTTCTGGGCTCATTGGTCGAATTCAAGTGGTCTATTCGTTAGACCAATGAGAGGCCAAGAAGCGCCAGCAATAACTTCCATATATGGGGAAAACCGACAGCACGCTGATATAAAAACAGCGATCGAACAGGGCTCTGAAATGGACTCGTCAGACCGAAAGGGCCTGGGCCCAACCCAACAAAACAATCAAAGCTCTTTTAATGCTCTTTCTGTAAACTGTGCTCAGATTTGACCTAGGCCTGTCAATTCTACACCTTTTAAGTCGGAACATTTTTATGCTTTTACAGCTCTGTAGGCCTGTGGCTCTTCTTGCGAAACCTTTTTTTTGGTCGAAAATGGCAGAACATGACGTCATTCTGACGTCATTTGCGGCCAACCTATCATAGCCTCTGGAAAAAAAAAATAGTCACAATGTGTAAAATGGATGCCCAGAGAGGTCCTGAAAGTTTGGTGGCGATATTTGCAGTCATTTAGGAGAAAGCTACGGAAGAGGACAGGGAGCCGTTTCGCCCCCCCCCCTCCCTACGGGGCGCGGGTTAACGCCCTTTCAACTCAGGCTACAAGGGCCCTTTTGCCACTTAAGGGCCCTTTCAACCCAGTCAGTCAAGGGCCCTTTTGACTGCGGATCCCCCCTGAGAGAAATCCTAGATACGCCACTGGGCACAAAACACAGCACAGCACCAGGTCACTCAGCGGCACCAAACACAGCACAACACCGGGTCAGTGCACACGACACGACACCGGGTCACTCAGCGGCACCAAACACAGCACAACACCGGGTCAGTGCACACGACACAACACCGGGTCACTCAGCGGCACCAAACACGACACAACACCGGGTCACTCAGCGGCACCAAACACAGCACAACACCGGGCCAGCCGGCGGCACCAAACACAGCACAGCACTGGGTCACTCAGCGGCACCAAACACAGAAACACAACAACAGGTCAGTGCACCAAACACGACACCAGGTCAGCCGGCGGCACCAAACACGACACCAGGTCAGCTGGCGGCACCAAACATATCAGGTCAGCCGGCACAGTAAACAGCCGGGTCAGCCAGGATTGTTTTAAATAGTTGCGTGAAAATGTCAAGCATTGACTCATCTGAACGAGTAATAATCACCAGCACTCAGCAGAGCCCCAAATATGCAGTATAGAACCAGTGATTAACACCAGTACTCAGTAGAGCCCCTAGTATGGTATGAATGGGACGGTTGGTGCACCAAACCTGACGTTTCTCATGTTTGGCCTGGGGATCATGCGATTTGAGTTCGAGATCTTATTCATGACAGTTTCTGAGCACCATCCCTCTTGGGCACGATCTGTGATAAAGAAATCGAGTACCTAGGCTTCCGCAAAACGTTTTGAAATCACCATAGCAACAAAACAATGAAAATACTGGGGAATGCTGTGTTCCATCGTTGAATTTTCTAAATGGTACGCAATGGTATTGCAACTGGCCAATGCATTCGTAAAGAGAGAGTATAAGTCGATTAGGCGGGTTGGTTCGAAGTTCAGCGAGCACCTTCGCATCTGCCCAGGCATCAGTTGGCGGTCACACCGAACCTCAAGCGTGCGGCCATAGAGACGTGCACACTGCACACTGCGTGGTGGCTGCTCCTCGTGTGCAATGATCCCAGATGTCCATCCCGGACCGCTGCCGCCGCAGTGGCGGCCGTTGGCGGCCAGGGTAATGCCACTCGGACGGATCGGCACCACGAAATGACGGCGGATCGGGAGCGGCCGCCGCGGGCCGGCGCGGCGGCCCAACGGCCCCCGGCGGGCAGATTCCGCCGGCTAATCGCGCCACACCGACCGAACCAGATCCATTTCAGTAATTGTGCTAACTGCATGCATGCACCCGGTGACTCGGAAACGCTCCATTATAGTCTGAGTAGCGCGGAGGGTCCCGGACAGGGCGGCCGAGTATTTCACCAGTGTCCCCCCTCCCCCCCCCCCTCTCAGCAGCGCGACAATTGTCCATGCTGGCGATTTGAAGGAGTGCAGTTGGATCTACATGCATCCATCGAATCAGAAAAGCGTGTTATGACCCCTCTAAAGAGGCTTTGAGTCCCGTAGGAGTACACGATTAGCTACGTTCGAAAGAACATCAGAGGTCAAAGGTCAAAGAGCAGAGAACATCCAGGGTCAACTTTCTTCATATTCCGACAGTTTTAGACAAAGAGGCGCACAGCGGTAGCCCTTGAGCTCAATTTCACCCTCACCTTTCGAGAGTGGAGATGATACACCCTGACATAGGCAATTTCTCAGAACGCGTTGGCAGCAGAGCTGGAAGTAAAGATACCCGCGACTTCGGGCTCAAACCGGACATATTCATCTTGTTTGTGTTTTCAGATAAGATAAGGTCACTGACCTATGGCGTCAAGTGAACCTATGCAGTTTGCATAATACAACATTATAACAATGTTAGGTACGACTTCGCATATGCTCTGAGCGACATGGAATGTAATGCAGAGAGATGACGCTTTCAGGTTGCAAAGCACCCCAAAACACCAACAAATTATTTACTTCGGATTTTTTAAAGGGTCACCTGAGGTCTGGTCGGTGACGTTACCTCACCATTTTTCATCCCAATGGGGGACATATGGAAACCATCTGTTTAGCATCAAAAAAGATTGCAGCCTAGATGCACACGAAATAAAGCATCATTACCCATCTGGCAGCGTCTTCCGGCAAGACAGAACGATAAAACCGTCTTAGGTGTGGTCAGCTCGACGATGCAGATCGACTGATATGCAACGTGACCTTTTCCGGTCAGGTCATGACCTTGACCTGAGCAAATTTTCAAATTGACCTTTCAAGGTCAAATTATAGTTCATTCGTTGCGTCTTGACGAGAGCAACACGATGCCGGCAACAGATAGTCCGTGCAAGGCTTGAGTCAAAAGATATTGCAGGAAAACTGTTTCCGAAAAACAATCGTCTATTTTGGCAGTTTTTGCTGTCTGCAGGCAAATCCGTTGACGATAGGTCAAATCTGAGAGAATTACTTAGAAAGAATGTTAAAAGGGCGCTATCAAATGCACTTTTCTGCGGCGCTGTAGCTTTACTAGTTTCCGAGCTGCGCGTCGATTTGTTGAAAGTTGTCGACATTTGACCTAGAAATCGGTAAATTTTGCCTTCAATGACCTCTGGTGACCTGACCTTTGACCTGAGCAAAAAATTCACCAAATAATTTCTTCCTTATTTTTGCCGCTCTTTCGAACGCCAGCTTTCCCGTATATAGCTACGTGGCCCAGGTGCCGAGTTAGAATGGAAGGGGGTGTTCAAACACCCTTCCCAGCAGGGCGTGGAAATCCAGGACCCCTAGCTTGGCGCGGGTTTAACTGGGACTAGTAAATGGCACCAGCTACTAGTTGGTAACGGCACAGACGCTCGCATTTTCGAAAACATTAACACATATCGGCTCATAATTTTATTCATTGCATTCTGAGGCCGCTGTGCGGCAATGACTCTTTTTTAGGTCATTTCATTGCAGTGCCCACGTATACTGTGCCCGTGCATTTGTGTCGATCGGCGGGACCTTGGTCGGTCGAGCATCTCAGATGGCGGTTTTCCGAGCCCTTTATGGCGCACAGCGCGACACCCCCGGGTCACACACAGCAGCCCGCCATAAAGGACTACTCACAGCGCACAATGAGAGCGAAACAAAGCGGCCTCAGTGCTTGGCGGGGAACAAAGGTAAATCGAGAGGCGTAGAGCAAGTGGAAAAGAAAGTGAGAGTGAGAGAGAGATAGAGATAGGAAAGGACGAAATATGGAGAGACCCAGAGGGATGAGAGGAAAAGAGAGGAAAGGAGAGAAGAAGAGAGGAGGGGAGAGGAGAGAAACGCATGTGTATGGTGTATGCGCTACGCCACCTGCTGGACTGCTCGGCTGTATGCGTTACGCTGCCTGATGGAGTGCCCAGCTGTATACTGTGTATTCTTTGCGCTATACCTGCTGGAGTGCCCGGCTGTATAGCAAGAGTATTCGTTACTTTACCTGCTGGAGTACCCGACTGTATAGCTACTATGTATAGCTAGTGTATTCGTTACTTTACCTGCTGGAGTGCCCGGCTGATTCCAGATGCCGCGACGCAGCTCTCCTGAAAACAAAACGGGGCAACGGTCACACGAAAGCCGTGACTAAATTAGCCAAACAGGCACTGAGTGTACACCGACTATAGGACACTGAGTGTGTGTCTATCCACAGAGAGTATAAACTACACGGCATACATTTAGATAAGGGACGGTTAGCGGTAGAATGGACAGAATTACCTGTCCGCTGATAAGCATAGGTAAAATGTGCAGGACACAGGACACAACGTCTGTCTGTGGGCTGTCTGTCCGTGGGCTGTCTATCCGTGGACCGTCTGTTCAGTGTCCAGTGTCCATGGGCCGTCTGTCCGTGGGTGGTCTGTCCGCGGGCCGTCTGCCCCTGGGCCGTCTGTCCAGTGTCCAGTGTCCGCGGGCCGTCTGCCCCTGGGCCGTCTGTCCAGTGTCCAGTGTCCGCGGGCCGTCTGCCCCTGGGCCGTCTGTCCAGTGTCCAGTGTCCAAGGGTCGTCTGTCCGTGGGTCGTCTGTCCAGTGTCCAGTGTCCATGGGTCGTCTGTCCGTGAACCGTCTGTCCAGTGTCCAGTGTCCGTGGGCCGTCTGTCCGTGGACCGTCTGTCCAGTGTCCGCGGGCCGTCTGTCCGTGGGCCGTCTGTCTGTCCGCAGGCCGTCTGTCCGTGGGCCGTCTGTCTGTCCGCAGGCCATCTGTCCGTGGTCCGTTTGTCCGTGGGTCGTCTGTCCGTGGACTGTCTGTCCGTGTGCCGTCTGTCTGTCCGTGGACCGTCTGTCCAGTGTCCGCGGGCCGTCTGTCCGTGGGCCGTCTGTCTGTCCGCAGGCCATCTGTCCGTGGTCCGTTTGTCCGTGGGTCGTCTGTCCGTGGACTGTCTGTCCGTGTGCCGTCTGTCTGTCCGTGGACCGTCTGTCTGTCCGTGGGCCGTCTGTTCGGCCGGACATTCAAACGATTCTGGGCTGATGAGAGTCATCATTTCCTGGTGTAATGGCCATAGCACAAATACGATAAACGCACTACTACATTAAGGGATGATGGGCTATTTTTATCCTAATAGGATTTATAAACCTGTTTATCATTCGGTATCCACTATCAAGTAGGTGGATACCGCAAGGAACCCGGAACATCGTAAGCATGCATGCATAAGTTCACATCCACATTAGAAGCATAAAATCCAGTGTCGTTGAGTGTTTGCCTTGCTCGGAAGGAATGCTAGTCCTCCAGTCACTTAGCAGGCATTTTGTACACAAGTGGCAAGTGAGTCGCTAAGCTAATCGCTACAAATCTTAACTATGCATCACTAGGGGTTTCCTCCTGAGGAAATGAACCAGCATTTGACTAGCCTGGAGCTAGCGGTTGGCAGCTCTAGTTCTGAAATACGCGCATGGTGGCCAATCGGACATGATACAACTGTGCATAAATGCAGGATCCATCTGCTCCTGACATGTCAGTACGCCGAAACAATCATCGACATTTTCATATCCGGAGTGACCAGTGTCGTCCCAGTTGTATCAACGTTCCAAGAGCCCGTAGACACGCACTTGGGTACAGTGGGCACTTTGTGCGACCCACCGGGGAGATCACCCGAGTGGTCACGACACTCAATATCTCGCAGTCCCCTAATGCGTCCATGACGTTATGTATTACAGCCGATTTCCTTTGCTCACGGCACCGTGAACAAGCCCAATGGCGCCGGCTGCGATATGGCAGCTTCACCGGAGATATGGCAGCTCGGAACACGATGTCATGGTATCGTTGGCACGGAGACAAAACGTCGTCCGTGTGCCTCTGATAGCTCAGCATATCAGAGCGATTAATGCCGCCTCTCTGTTCACCACCCGGCCGAGCCGCGGGGAGACGCGCCAAATCGGACCGCCAATCCGGACTGCAGCCCCCCCCCCCCGGCCCCCCCTACAGGAGGCGACCACCCCGAGAGGAGGGAGGACTGGGAGGAAGGTGAGCCCCGCCAGAAAACAGAGCGATGGACGACAGGGAAACACCAGCGACCACCTGAACCAGAAGATGGCAGCAGAGACCAATTCTCCAACCATGACAGCAGAGACCATCTCAACCATGGCAACAGAGACCACACATGACCATCTCAACCATGACAGCAGAGACCATCTCAACCATGGCAGCAGAGACCAGAGAGTGACCATCTCAACCATGACAGCAGAGACCAGAGAGTGACCATCTCAACCATGACAGCAGAGACCATATCGACCATGGCACGTCAGCAGAGACCAGAGAGTGACCATCTCAACCATGACAGCAGAGACCATCTCAACCATGGCAGCAGAGACCAGAGAGTGACCATCTCAACCATGACAGCAGAGACCATATCGACCATGGCAGCAGAGACCAGCGATGGTCTCCGTCGCGGCAGCAGCATCCGTCGGCTTTGCAGGCCCGTGTCGGTCGGCCGTACCGGAGCGGCGGTCGGTCGGCCGTACCGGAGCGGCGGTCGGTCGGCCGGCCGTACAGGAGCAGCGGTCGGCCGGCCGTACAGGAGCAGCGGTCGGCCGGTCGGCCGTACAGGAGCGGCGGCCGGTCGGCCGGCCGTACAGGAGCAGCGGTCGGCCGGTCGGCCGTACAGGAGCGGCGGCCGGTCGGCCGGCCGTACAGGAGCAGCGGTCGGCCGGTCGGCCGTACAGGAGCAGCGGTCGGCCGGCCGTACAGGAGCAGCGGTCGGCCGGTCGGCCGTACAGGAGCGGCGGTCGGCCGGCCGTACAGGAGCAGCGGTCGGCCGGCCGGTCGGCCGTACAGGAGCAGCGGTCGGCCGGCCGTACAGGAGCGGCGGCCGGTCGGTCGGCCGTACAGGAGCAGCGGTCGGCCGGCCGTACAGGAGCGGCGGCCGGTCGGTCGGCCGTACAGGAGCAGCGGTCGGCCGGTCGGCCGTACAGGAGCAGCGGTCGGCCGGTCGGCCGTACAGGAGCAGCGGTCGGCCGGTCGGCCGTACAGGAGCGGCGGCCGGTCGGCCGGCCGTACAGGAGCGGCGGTCGGTCGACCGTACAGGAGCAGCGGTCGGCCGGTCGGCCGTACAGGAGCAGCGGTCGGCCGGCCGGTCGGCCGTACAGGAGCAGCGGTCGGCCGGCCGTACAGGAGCGGCGGTCGGTCGGCCGTACAGGAGCAGCGGTCGGCCGGTCGGCCGTACAGGAGCGGCGGCCGGTCGGCCGGCCGTACAGGAGCAGCGGTCGGCCGGTCGGCCGTACAGGAGCGGCGGCCGGTCGGCCGGCCGTACAGGAGCAGCGGTCGGCCGGTCGGCCGTACAGGAGCGGCGGCCGGTCGGCCGTACAGGAGCGGCGGTCGGCCGGTCGGCCGTACAGGAGCGGCGGCCGGCCGGTCGGCCGTCCCGTGTCGGAGCAGCCCGGCTATCGATTGTTGCCGTGGCGAGGCGGATGGCCTTCCCGGCGCTAATCAGAGCCTGCCGGCGGATCACGGAGCGCCCTGTCTGTCTGTCTGTCTGTCTGTCTGTCTGTCTGTCTGTCTGTCTGTCTGTCTGTCTGTCGGTGTATGTGTATGTGTCTATAGGTCCGTGTGTCTCTGCGTCGATGGGGCGTCCTTTCTGAAGTAATGGTCTCATGTTGGAGTCATGGCGGGAGAAGAGCAAGAGGACTGAGCCGAAGGAGGAAAAAGGCACAGCCGACTAGTCCCTGGCATGCCCTTATTTGATTTCGCGCAGTATGAGTGAACTGATGATTGAGGTCTCCGGGCCGGCGCACCACCGGCGCCCACAATACTGTGCTTTGGCTGGTAATGATCGATCCCTCGTTGGCGCTGCCGCCACCGAGTTCACGACGAATAGGTAGGAAAAAAGAGGGGAGAAAAAAAATGTGGAGTAGGTCCCTGTGTCGCAGCGTCACTCCTCTCCTCTCGCGGTCGCGGCCGCTCCCCGACTGAGCTCCCCATGTTATTGCCCGCCCGTCCTGTTTTCGCGTGCCCGTCCCCGGGCCCGGTGCCGCCGTGGTCGCGGCTGGAGCCCTCAACGGGTCTTATCGGCGGCGGCCGATAAGACGGTCATTGAGGTCTCCGGGCCGGCGCACCACCGGCGCCCACAATACTGTGCTTTGGCTGGTAATGATCGATCCCTCGTTGGCGCTGCCGCCACCGCCAAACCCGCCAAACGGAGAACCCTTCGCAACACTACTGTGGACGTCAAACCGCGTGGGACGCGACTTTTTCGCAATAACTTTTGAATGCGTTGCCTCTCAAGAACGAAACTTCGGCAATGGACGTTTCAGACCCCGGCCTAATTTTTATTACTAAGGTTTTTCAATGTCCGATCAATATTTAGGGCACTTCTCGTTCACTCGTAATGTTAAATTTTGCTCCTGAAACTCTCTCGGTGAGCAGAGGCTACTCCACAAGGGGCGGAGCCATAGTGTGACGTTGGAGCTAAGCTCCGCCTCGGCTGGCCGTTGCCTGAGGCGCTACCTGACCCGAGACCGGTCAGTCGCGGTCCGTAGGGGTTGGTACGCGGTGCTTCCTGCCAACACACCCAGCCGCATGGCGTACGTTATTCATGCTTGCCCTAAGGGCTGCAAGAATGTATTTGCAATGCGCCTCTTGTCGGTATTTAAAGGGACCCTCCCACCTTAACATTAAATTTGAGTTGAGATAGCCAAATTGGTGGCCATGGCCTGAAAATACCGGTTTGGGCACTCACAACATCGAAAAATGCTTTAATTCGGAGATATCGAATTTCAAACTTACAGTTTTCGGATTCTAAGGGGCTAATGCATTGGTATGCCCCCTTAGAATTTGTGACGTCAGCGGAGATCTAACGATTTTAAATCTTTTACTAAAACGTTTGGTAGCACGCGGTGGTATATGCTGCTTTGCGCGCAACAAATGCCGCACTTTCAAATAAAGTCGCTGGGAACAGCGGAGATCCCAAAAAGAAAACAAAAGTAAAAGTCTAATATCTTGAAAACCGGTGAATATTTTTCGATGAAATTTGGTAGATATTCGTTTTTGCTCTTTCTGAACCGAGCGACATCACTTTCATGCCAATTCATTAACTTTTTTGAAGGTGGGAGGGTCC